CCAGATCAGCCTGCATCCTTAGAGAAGCCTCCCTCGCTCAAACTAAAGTGGGAGCCCCTTACTCTGAGGTGGGGTCTGAGCAGCCATTCGTTCTTAAAGCTCCTCAGGTGCGTCTGATAAATAGTGATGCTGAGAACCCACTGCACTAAATGAGTCTTGTTATTGCTTGCAACAATTTTTCTGCCAATGTACTTCTTGCTACTGAAAAACCAATGTGTAGGAAGTGGTAAAAATTAAAAAGAAATGACAATCATCAGGAACCTGTACTAAACTACCGCCAAAGTCACACCTATGTGTCATATGCAAGAGTTATGTTTATAAACTCTAGAGATTTTTGTACTGCATGTATCAACTTTTTTATTGTTCTTAGTGCATGACACTCAGCTTGAAATAAGAGAGTTGAAGTCGTCAGAGAAATCAAATGTAAATGTTACCTCCTCAGAACTGCCTTCCTCAGTTTCCTGAGTAAAGAGAGCCATTCCCTCTTCTGAGCTTTGGTAACTCTTCAGTCTCTGATGTACGTTCTTTTTTTTTTTTTATCCTCACCCGAGAACATTTTTCCAATTTTTGTTCAGATACAGTGGGAGGGAGAGAGAGAGAAACATCGATGTGAAAGGGACACATCGAGTGGCTGCCACCCACACGATCAACCAGGGCCAGGGACAAATTGCAACCGAGGTACATGCCCTCAGCAGGAACCGAACCCGGGTCTCTCTGGACTGCAGGCCGACGCTCTGACCACTGAGCAAACTGGCCAGGGCCCTGATGTACGTTCTTACACTAATGACTATATTTTTTCTACTGTCAGCTCCATAAGATAAGGGACTTGTCTATATTGTTCACTGATATATCCCCAACACCTATTCAGGGCCTCATACATGGTAGATATTTAGTAAATAGCAAATTATGTGACTCATTTATTCATTCAACAAATGTTTACTGAACACTATATGCCAGGAAGCATCCTAGATCCTAGACCTTAAGGATACAACAGTGATCAAAACAGCAAAAAGTCTTGGCCCCTCTTATATGCTAATGTGAAACACAGACGAGATTAATAAGTAAAACAGCCCTGGCCCGTTTGGCTCAGCGGTTAGAGCGTCGACCTGCGGTCCTGAAAGACCCGGGTTTGGTTCCTGCTAGGGGCGCTTACCCAGTTGCAGTTTGTCCCCGGCCCTGGTCAGTCGTGCGGGTGGCAGCCACTCAATGTGTTCCTTTTACGTCGATGTTTCTCTCTCTCTCTCTCTGTTCCTCTCTCTCTCCCTCCCACTCTACCTGAACAAAAAAATGGGAAAATGTCCTCAGGTAAGGATAAGAAAATAAAATAAAATAAGTAAAACAAAATAAAGATGACTTTTATTTTAAATCCTCATTCAAGGATATTTTTCCAATGATTTTCAGATAGAGTAGGAGGGAGGGAAGGAGAGAGAGAGAGAGAAACATCAATGTGAGAGAAACACCTTGATTGGTTGCCTCCCAAATGACCCCATTCAAGGCTAGGGATCGAACTGCAACCAAGGTACATGCCCTTGACCAGAATCAAACCCGCAACTCTTTGGTCCACAGGTCAACACTCTAACCACTGAGCCAAACCAGCCAGGGCTACAGTTAACTCTTTATTTTTGTTCCAGATGTTTCTCCTTTTTCCCCATTGACAACCTCCTCCTGATACCCTCTTGCCCCTGCCCCATACAGTTGACTCTTGAATAATGCAGGTGTTAAGAGCACCAACTGCCAACCACCCCCCCATGCAGTCAAAAATCTGCATATAACTTTTGACTCACCAAAAACTTAACTACAGTCCCTCAGTATTTACAGAGGATTGGCTCTAGGACTCCTTGTAGATACCAAAGTCCTGGGGTGCTCAAGTACTTCGTATAAAATGATGTAGAACAATGTATACAGTTGGCCCTTCATATCTATGGATTCTCAATCACAGATGCAAAACCCAGGGATATGGAGGGCTGACTGTATATTTACTGGGGAAAAAAATCCATGTAAAAGTGGACCCATGCAGTTCAAATCCGTGTTGTTCAAGGGTCAACTATATATAGCAAGCTAGGTAATAGTAAGTGACACAAAGAAAAAATAAAGCAGAAAAAAATTAATCTATGGTAGCAAAAGATAGATCATTGGTTGCCAAGGAATTGAGGTGAAGAGAGGGACACAAGAAAACTTTTAGGGGATGATAGACACTGTCTTTTGACTGTAGTGGTTTCAAAAGTGTATAAACCAGCCAAAACTAATCACATCAGACAATTCAAATGGATACAGTTTACTGTATGAAAATTATAGCTCGCCCTGGCCGGTTTGGCTCAGCGGTTAGAGCGTCGGCCTGCGGTCCTGAGAGACCCGGGTTCGGTTCCCGCTAAGGGCCCGTACCTCGGTTGCAGTTTGTCCCCGGCCCTGGTCGGTTGTGCGGGTGGCAGCCACTCGATGTGTCCCTTTCACATCGATGTTTCTCTCTCTCTCTCTCTGTTCCTCTCTCTCCCTCCCACTCTACCTGAACAAAAAATGGAAAAATGTCCTCGGGTGAGGATTAAAAAAAAAAAGAAAATTATAGCTCAATAAAGTTTTTAAAAAATAAAGCAGTAAGTGGAGGACTAAACCTTTAGAGAGGTGGTCAGTGAAAACCTTGAGAAGGTAATTTAAAAAAAAATCTCAGTAAAGGGAAAATGTAACTATGCAGATAACTGGGGGAAGACCAACCAATCAGGGGAGAGGAACAGCAAATGCACAGACCCTAAAGAGGTATTGCCTGGCATATTCCAGGAATAAGCAAGGAGAACATTGGGTCTAGCTAAAATAGACTAAGGGAGAGCACTATTAATACCTGATTGAGACAGAAAGCCACTAGAGTGAGATGAGAACCATGAATACATTATCTGACTTATGCTTTAGCAAAATTACTCTATTGATACACTTCTGTGTGTTGAGAATAAGCTAAAGAGCAGGTGCAGAGCTATCAGTTAGGATGATGTTATTATAATCTAGGAGAGAAATGATGGTGATCTGAACATATTGAGGGATGGTGAGAAGTAGTCAAATTTTAGGTATATTTTAAAATTAGCCCAGCCAGTGTGGCTCAGTGGATTGAGCATCGTCTCATGGCCTGAGAGGTCTCGGTTGGATTCCTGGTCAGGGCACATGGCCTGAGTTTCGGGTTCAATCCCCAGTTGGGGTATATACAGGAAGCAGCGATTTATGTTTCTCTCTCTCCCTTCCTTTCTCTCTAAAATCAATAAAAATAGCCCTGGCCGGTTTGGCTCAGCGGTTAGAGCGTCCGCCTGCGGTCCGGAGAGACCCGGGTTCGGTTCCCGCTAAGGGCACGTACTTCGGTTGCAGTTTGTCCCCGGCCCTGGTTGGTCGTGCGGGTGGCAGCCACTCAATGTGTCCCTTCACGTCCATGTTTCTCACTCTCTCTCCCTTCCTCTCTCTCCCTCCCACTCTATCTGTACAAAAAAATGGAAAAATATCCTCGGGTGAGGATAAAAAAAAAATTAAAAAAATAAAATAAAATAAAATCAATAAAAATATATTTTTTAAAAAATGAATATTACTGGTGAAATATCTACCTGTACTTATCACACCTTGAAATCTGTCAGATTTTTAGTCTAAGAACAAAAGAAGGAAGGCCATATAACACAGTGGTTAAAAGAATGGACTTTAAAAAAACAAAAACAAAACAAAAAAAACTACTAAAAAAAAAGCCCTGGCCAGTTTGGCTCAGCAGTTAGAGCGTCGGCCTGCAGTCCACAGAGACCCGGGTTCGGTTCCCGCTAAGGGCATGTACTTTGGTTGAACATTGTCCCCGGCCCTGGTTGGTTGTGCGGGTGGCAGCCACTCGATGTGTCCCTTTCACATCGATGTTTCTCTCTCTTCCTCTCTCTCCTTCCCGCTCTATCTGAATAAAAAATGGAAAAATGTCCTCGGGTGAGGATAAAAAAATAAAAAAGAGAGAATGGACTTTAGGGTCAGACAAATCAAGGTCAATAAAGGCAATTAGCATTGTTTTACAATAAATGAATAAAAGATCCTCCAAATGTATGTATTTTAAAGCATAATTATATATTTTTAAAGGAATTATATTTTAAATTAAAAACAAAGTCATTATGGAACTACAGACACTGAAAAATCCTAAGAAACTGAAGAAGGGAATATATGAGAAAATCTGCAAGCTAAAAATGTTCTCATCATTAGAAGAAAATAATACATTTCCATTATAGAATGTAACAGAAGTACGTATTTCATTATTTACCTGAAAATAAATCTAGTTAGCTAATTCAGTGATCTGGGTTTTCTCTGCCTAATTACAAGTTGCTGCTTTTTTCCCCCCAAAAGACATACGCACCAGGTCATTAAAAGTCTGATCTGGCAGTCATCTGGAGCACAAACCAAATGACTTCAAGAAAAACCATGTCGATGCTAAAATTATCTGCTATAATAACTGTAAGAAAAAGCAGCAGTATTTTGTAAACAATCAAGATCAAATTAAAAATTACTGTGGGCTCAAGAACAAAGCGAGAACACTTAGGGCCTTTAGGAACAAAAACAGTACTTAAGATACATTGTCCCCTATACCTGACTGTCTATAAAGATGACTAGGTGAGATAGTTTTGTTCTGTGTTGTTCAATCTCAATTCTTGGTCTTTACTTGGCATCTCTATCATTGCCTTGGAGATTCTGACCAAATGACAAGAATTCTGAGGTTGAACCAAAATGGAGTAGTGGTCAACTTCTGTAAAATCACCTTATTGCCCCATTTTGTTCTTCTGCGATAACTGCCAGACCCTGAAGCTGGTTTCTAGACTCTGTACAAAATTGGGAGTATTAAAATTTTTAGATGATTCCATCTCTGAAGTGGGATTCTAGGAAACAGGATCTCTTCCTATTTTCTCACTATCTCTGCAAAGAAGACTGTTACATAAAATCAATTTAAATGTATTACTAAGATGTGAGGGAAAATCCAGTTTACAATGGGAAATTGAAGTTGAACTCACCTGTCCACTTTTCCCTATTTCCAGCTCCATTATGGCAACAGGGGTGTGTATCTGAGCTGAGTGCCTTGACTGTGATTTGCCATCAACTCTCCAGCTCAGGCCCCGAAGCCCACTGTCCCAGCGACTCTGGTTCATCAGGCTCTCTCGAATCTTTGCCTTATGACTCTTCCAGAATTTAGAAATGACAGCAGCTTGATCAGATGTGATCCCTCCTTGCTTTTTGGTTTGAGCAGTCAAGAATGCTTCAAGCTGGTTGAAATCCATGTCTGCAGATGCAATAGACTATAATGACAGAAAAAGTAATAAATTTGAATTAGGCAGATAACTAGAAAAAGATAGCTTCTTTTTTTTTTTTTTTATCCTCACCTGAGGACATTTTCTATTTTTTGTTCAGGTAGAGTGGGAGGGAGAGAGAGGAACAGAGAGAGAGAGAGAGAAACATTGATATGAAAGGAACACATCGAGTGGCTGCCACCCACACGACTGACCAGGGCCGGGGACAAACTGCAACCGAGGTACACGCCCCCAGCGGGAACCGAACCCAGGTCTCCCCGGACCGCAGGCCGACGCTCTAACCGCTGAGCCAAACCGGCCAGGGCGAAAAAGATAGCTTCTTAACTACAGATCATATTTTGAGTGATTCATAATCAATGATTAAGTTTCACAAAAGGGTCATCAAGTGACAGTAATGAGAATAAACTTTTCATAAGTACAAAAATATTCCCTTTACAAATATCAAATAGCAGAATAGCTATTGTTAAAAATTCCATGTCACTCAAATTCTATGTTAATAACTATAACCTAGTTTTTAAATATCCAGTACTATGGTGGAGAAATAATAAAATAAAAATTTTTAAATAAAATTAATTAGTTCTCTGATGAAATCTGACATAATTTCACAGTGGCTAATAATCAAGCTTGGTTTAACATACTAAAACTGTACAATATCTTGTCCATAAGAAGTACTAAGGCCCGGCCGGTGTGGCTCAGTGATTGAGCGTTGACCCATGCACCAAGAAGTCGCTGGTTTGATCCCAGTTAGGGCACATGGTGGGCCCAATCCCCAGTGGGAGGTATGCAGGAGGCAGCCGATCACTGTGTCTCTTTCACCAATGTTTCTATCCCTTCCTCTCTCTCTCTAATATCAATAAAGAAAAAAAGTTTATTATTAAAGTGGTTTTCTGTTCTACTCTAAAAAATAATAAAAATCAATAAAGAAAAAAAAGTACTAAGTAAATTGTTAAATGAATCCATTATTTTAGCTTTGTAGTCTATCTTCAGCCAAATAGCTCATTCATAATAATATTAATCTGAAATTGTATACTACTTTATGCTTTTCCATAAATTTTTAAAACTTAATTGCCATTGCTATTCCAAGAGCAGTAAGCAGCTAAACTGAAGTGGAAAGTCATTAGAGGACTGGGGCAATAAAGCTTTGGAGAGGACAATGACAGTGAATGATTTGGTCTCAGGACAAGCTCTCCCCTGCATCTTTTTTGGTATGTCCTTATCTTTTCCTGGCCTTTGGGGTTGGCATGAGCTCCAAACCAGACAAATCACAGTACCATCCTTTCTTTGGGAATAATGACTGATTTGGATAAATCACCCAATTTAGAGCAGGAAGAGAAATGGTCTTGCCTCTTAAGGTCATGGTACCGAAACGATATAAGGCTGGGGTTGCAGACAGCTATCATTGATCTTTTGACAAAGACCTGATTGCCAAAAAAAAAGGAATGAAGCAAAGCAGAGATGAAAGTGGGTTCCAATGGAGTGATATCCCTGTTCTGTAATCCCCTGGTTCCTGCTGACTTCCTTCAATTCTGTATGTTATCTCAGCATCCTTTCTACCTATAGGCACCAAAAAATTCCATTTACTGTTCAAGATAGTTTAAACTGTATTGCTATTATTTGGACCTTAAGTTTTGACTAAACTTGGGCAATAGCAGTGAGAGCAGAGGAATGTGAAAGACAGTATAAAGGTAGAGGAAGTAGGATTGAGGCTGAAAAACACACATGCTGCCTTTTATTCCTCCGTTAATATAGAGAAATTTTACAATAAATATTATAATTTTCTGATTAAAGATATTCAATATTGCAATTCAATACACATTTATTAAATATCTGCCTATTTAGCAGGTATGAGGACCCAAAATTTCTGACTATGCCACTCAATAGAAACATTAATTTATATAATATACAATAAATTAAGTAAAATTATTTCCACTGGCACTTTGTTTCACAATATCACAATTTAGGTGATTTGTATCATTCTTTTCCTCAAATCATACAAAATTATCCATTCTAATATAAGTTTACTTGTGATAGATGTTATTTTGGTTAGATTCCAGTCAATAATATCTTGTACTGGGGTCAGTTCATCCAAATTAAGAATAATCAAAACTTGCCTGGCCAGTATGGCTCAGTAGTAGAGCATCGACCCATGCACCAAGAGGTCACTGGTTCGATTGCCCGTCAGGGCACATGCCCAGGTTGTGGGCCAAATCCCCAGCAGGGGACATGCAGGAACGGCCAATCGATGTTCTCTCTCACTGCTGTTTCTATCTCTTTCTCCCTCTCCCTTCCTCTCTCTCTAAAATCAATAAAGGGAAAAAAAATTAAAAAAAAAAAAAACAGCCAGAATTTATTAAGGAGGAGGAGGAGGAGAGAAGGAGAAGGGAGGAGGAAGAAGGGAGAAGGGAGAGAAGGGGAAGAAGAAGGGGAAGAAGAAAGGGGGGAAGAAGGGGGGAAAGAAGGGGGGAAGAAAGGGGGAAGAAGGGGGAAGAAGGGGAAGAAGAAGAAGGAGAAGAAGGAGGAGGAGAAGAAGGAGGAGGAGGAGAAGAAGGAGGAGGAGGAGAAGAAGGAGGAGAAGAAGAAGGAGAAGAAGAAGAAGAAGGAGGAGAAGAAGAAGGAGAAGAAGGAGAAAAAGAAGAAGGAGAAGAAGGAGGAGAAGGAGAAGGGAAGGAGGAGAGGAAGAGGAAGAGGAAGAGGAAGAGGAAGAGGAAGAGGAAGAGGAAGAGGAAGAGGAAGAGGAAGAGGAAGAAGAAGAAGAAGAAGAAGAAGAAGAAGAAGAAGAAGAAGAAGAAGAAGAAGAAGAATAATCAAAACTTAAATGAGCCCTGGCCGGTTTGGCTCAGCGGTTAGAGCGTCGGCCTGCGGTCCTGAGAGACCCGGGTTCGGTTCCGCTAAGGGCGCATACCTCGGTTGCAGTTTGTCCCTGGCCCTGGTCGGTTGTACGGGTGGCAGCCACTCGATGTGTTCCTTTCACATCGATGTTTCTCTCTCTCTCTCTGTTCCTCTCTCTCCCTCCCACTCTACCTGAACAAAAAATGGAAAAATGTCCTCGGGTGAGGATAAAAAAAAAACTTAAATGAGGAAATGATTTTGGTTTGAGTTTAAAGTCATCAATTTTCATTGAATTCAAGAAATATTCAAATAGCTACCATGGAACAGACTCTGTTCAAGGCACGCCACCTCCATATACAGCATAAACTAGCAATCTGATTCTTACTTATCCTTGATTCTTTCCTCTCCTTGATTCTTTCCTCTCCTCCACAACTTAAATTAGTGGTTTTCAACACTGCCTGCACATTAGAAGCATGAGGTACATTTAAAAAATATCTGTGCCCAGACTCCATTTCAGAAATTATAAAGTGGAGCCCACACACTGGTATTGTTTAAAGCTTTCCAAATGATTCTAATGGGTAACAAAGGTCAGTAATTAATGCCTATAACTTTTCAATAATCAAGTTCTACTGTTATTTATATCATATATAATTCTCTAATAATACGTCCGCTCTGCTCTGTCCCTACTACCTCATAGAGGCCCTCCCTAACTTGAACCTGAACTAGGCTTGTTGCTTCTCAGGCCTATCTTCTATACTCCGTCAAAGTAATCTATCTAAAACAACAATAGAATCCTGTCATTCCTGATTTAAAGCCTTCTAACAGCTGGCTCTTACCTGCTGCAGTGATTTATTAGTTAGCATGTTGTGAAACATTCTATGAAGTATAAGTTACAAATAATGTTATTTGTAGTAGTAAAAGTATTGGAGTTTGTAAAGATTTATTTTTATAAGCATAAATTGGAGGATTTTCAAGGTTATTCTTATATTAACAATTTTCTCTTTTCAAATGGGAGGGGGGAAAGAAAATTACAAAGACAAGAACATTACATGGAAATACATCATGCATATATCTCTTAAGTAAGTCACAAAAGAATAAAATATTGAAAACTGATAATCTAGGGTTTTGGTTCTCGACAAGGTAGCATTGCCCCATTCCCCCAAGGCACATGAGAAGTGTTTAGGAGCTATGTTTGGTTTCATGGTGACCAGAGTGTTTCTGGCATCTAGTAAGCAGGAACTAGGGATGGTAGATATCATCCTACAATGTTCAAAAAATGGGCTGGCGAAATTTCTGTAAAGGTGTTGTCATTGCTTTTACATATTCTTCCTTTTTTTTTTTTATCCTCACCCGAGGACATTTTTTGATATTTTGTTCAGATAGAGTGGGAGGGAGAGAGAGAGAGAGAGAGAAACATCGACGTGAAAGGGACACATCGAGTAGTTTCCACCCGCACAACCCAACCAGGGCCGGGGACAAACTGCAACTAAGGTACGTGCCCTTAGTGGGAACCGAACCAGGGTCTCTGGGGACTGCAGGCCGACGCTCTAACCGCTGAGCAAAACCGGCCAGGGCTATTCTTCCTTTTTTATTTTTAGTCCAACTCTTTAAAAATGTAAAAACCATTCTTAGCTCATAGGTTATATAAAAATAGCAGTGAGTGCCCAGCAAGTGTGGCTCAGTGAACTGAGCGTCATCCCATGGACCGAGAGGTCCCAGTTCAATTCCTGGTCAGGACACAGGCTCAGGTTTCCAGCTCAATCCCCAGTGGGAGGCGTGCAGGAGGCAGCTGATTGATGTCTCTCTCTCTCTCTCTCCCACTGATGTTTCTATCTCTCTCTCCTTTCTTCTCTCTCTCTAAAAAATCAATAAAAACATATTTAAAACACTAAAAATAGCAATGTGGCCTCTGGGATGTAGTTTGCCAACCTCAGCTCAAGAACATCCTACAGGACAAACTAGCCCATGTCCCATATGACTTGGCACTGTCCCATCTAACATTATGTGGAAAAATCTGTTCATAGTTACTTGATCCTAAAAATTAACCTTTTTTCTTTTTTCATAAAAAGTATATTTTGCACAATTTAAATATAAACATAAAATATTCCAGGAATACAACTAATATAACTTGTAATTTGGTTTGGTCAGATTTTATATAC